CGTGATTGTGTAACTCTGGCACTCTGCTTCGACATGATATCTAGTTCGCTGCAGATGAAGGGGCGTGTCAGGCACTATGAGTGTGCTTCGGCGCCAAACCGTTCTCTTCCAGTTGTTGAAGCGGTATGCGACAACAACGGATAGAAAACGATGATACTAACGATATAATACTCATTTTTCACTAGTTCGCTTCAAAAATTGGTGGAGAAAGGGTTTGGCACCGAGCCAAATCCATCCTGCCTGACACATCCATTCGTCCGCAGTGAATTGGACTATCAATCACTGCAATGTTATTAATATTGATTATGGATATTCTGGACTGCCACGGCTTCTCTCTATGGTTGCTAACCTTGTCGGTGAAACCCTACTATTCGGTGTAGCACAACCTGGCAAACAAGGGGGGGGGAAGGGATTACGACATCCAAGAAGCACATTCAGCATGAAGTACCGTAACGATCCTACATCACCGTTTACTGTATTGCAGGTGCTGGGAGGGTGGCGCCATGTGGAACGCTGGTTTCTCTGACGACGTAACTCGGACTACGTCAACCCGCCAAGTGGTGCTTGCAGATTCCACCGTGAAACTGAATTCAGGCCAAGAACTAATACTAGATTGGGTAGGACTGCTCCATGCAGTTCGCGGGGAGCCCGAGCATTTTAAAATCACCGTACTCACTCAACGTTGTTTTACCTTGTTCACATGTACCAGCAAGTGCTTCATGAAGGCAAGACGGGCAAATAAACTCCACTGCTTTACTCACCATCACGATAGGATAACACTTTTGATTGCAAAGGCGATGAAGCAGATAAGGCCAATTGACCCATTTGAAACCCACCAACCCAATATCCAAAAGAGCAGATTATGCGCGCAAAATTGATATCAATGTTTGACGGGTGAAGACTGGGAAAATCACGATATGGCGACGCGCACACTATCCAAATTGCCATGCTACTCATCTCGACATACTGTGGCCAAGGCCCTGGCTCTGATGAAAAATCTTATAAAATACGCACCCTCTCCCCTAAATGCTCTCCAACCTACTATTTTTGTGAAGTTTTTCCAAAACAGAGTGCAGGCGAAAAAAGACAATGAGCGAGGGGTGAGGGTATATGTACAGTACACTTTAAACAGGAAAACTGAAAAGTCAGAAAACGAAACTTTTCGAGGAAAAACACGACTTCCCTTCCCTCCAGGCGACCAAATACAACTCCTGTCGCTTGGATCACCAAGAAAGGAACCCACAGGACCACGGATCTCTCACAATCAATCAGGTCCCAGGGCAAATGGCGAATGCGGCGCACATGGCGTGATTCGCATTGCCGACTCGTCGCTACTTATACTCCTTAAAGGCAGTTGGCACGATAAATCCCAGAGACGAGTAGGATGATACGCCTGGCAGGACGGAATTCCGCGACCTCAAGCAGGCGCTGCGTAGCGCCTTTTCCAAGAAAGGTATCCTTATAGGGCCCTATCAAGCTACAACATACCGACCCGAACGCCCACCACGCCCGCCCGCCCACAAATGGACGACCGTACCTGATGCTCGTGATTGCTTCATTTGCTAAGTAAAATATGAAGCGAAGGGACTCACAAGAAGCGGTGCTGCATGGATATATGAGTACATACGTGCAGCCGTACTAACCGTAGCGGTTATTGGCAAGATGCCTACGGGAAACTCGTCCGAAATTGCTTTTTGAGTCATTAAGAACGAAGGCTTTTCTTCGCAGGTTTTTGACCGTTTCACTTCGTTTTTTCGCCATTTTCCCCACTATATAGCGCCCTGCTAGCATTTAGATCGATTACCAAATTATCGTGCCAACTACCTTTAACCCGAACAGCCGTGGTTGCGTGCTTCATTAGAATATGACGCCAAATGCGGTTTTCGTGGGCTGTTTCTACTTCAGACAACTGCCACTGTGTTGTGTGCCATACAGAAACATGATCACATTGGCTCCAAAGCGGCAACATCCCACCAAAAATGCAGCAGCCGCCACGTCTAAATAAAGCACGCAGCCACGCCCACTCGGTCTCGGGTATGTGGAGCATAGCTTACCATGTCGGACGCACGACGTAGTGATCCGAATGATGTAATTTCTCAACATACGATTTTTGCGAATTTTTCAGAACCTCAGATGCTCATTACAATCACTTCAGTGATATTAGGTTGGAAACGAATGTGTGGCGCACTTTCGATTTTCAACGCAACACAAGATTTCACACGAATCTTTATCCAACAGGGTTAGTCTTTGGAAGCGAATCGAATGGCGAACATGATTCCTTTTCGAAACAATATCGCATAGAAGTAAAATAGTAACATATTTATAATGCTTGGGAGAAGAAATTCGGGGGCGGGACGGGGGGATCAGAGAAGAGATTCAAACGAATCGACAGCACACTCACACACATATACTGACTGACAGCCATTGAAAAACAAACAAAATGATTAATACACATAAATTTAACACCCGCGATTAGATGCGAATAGAAAAAAACAAACGATAATCGTTACTGTACGGCGGTGATGCTAATGCTCTTACAACAACACAAGAGCAGACGATCAACGCGGTGCTGAGGCGAGTCCTTTTGAAGGCGGGCAGAGAGGACCTTCTGGTACTAACCACACGGGTTCTTCTAAGGGCCTTTCAGCTCATTTCAAAACATCGTTTCGACCCCAGTAGTAACCCTACCTACGACACGGAGATACACCGCGCTAAGCGGCTAGGGACGACCCTGTGGTACCAGCCGAATAAATTTAGCGCGCAATTCCTGCCTCAGTTGTCACGGAGACGGGTTTAGGTGGGTACAAAGCAACAAAATTCGCAATTTCAACAAATACGCAGCACAAAACGCATCAATATTCACAGCATAGAAAGAGAGACAAAGAAACATGCAGACATCGCGGATATTTTTCCCAATCGATAAATCGATTAGTCGCAGCACTACATGCTTAACAGTAAGGAAATCAGCGCGAAAAAAACGCAAATAAACGCTTTGGAACTAAATTTTACTTGTAATATAGCAGAGTATGAGAATACGCGCCTGAAGGAGAAGAGTATTATGAAATAAAAATAGAATATGATACGCGTTCTATTGTGCCAAACAGTGATCAGACTACCCGACTTACAGTATGCCAAAAAAGGATAGACAGTTATATGAACATGAACCTAAATACATGAAATAGAAGGGGGAGGAACGCCTTTGGCTGAGGGCCGACCAGTGTAGTGGGAGCGATCCATCAAGCAAACCAGACGACCAAAATTCTCAGTGCTTCTCATCGCGATGAAGCATACGCAGAAACGATCGACCACTGGCGATGAACTTGTTTCCAGACGAAGGGCTTGGAGACCTGAGAATCAAAGCGTCAAAAAAGCACCAAAAAAATTAGCGGGGAGTAAAATTATGGAATTACCAGGAAAGGAATGGATGAGATTGGTGGCAGTCGACAAGAAGGGGGGGGGGACTTTTTCTCATAACTTCCGTCTACGTGCCAGGATATTTTAAACTTGTGTAAATTATTGTAGAATGACTCGAGCTACCTTTCAAGCAGTGGGCAGGACGGCTATGGGCGAGTGATTATTGCCAACCTCATTGGTTCAAGGGCTGCGAAAAGGTCGCCTGGCCACACCCCACTCAGTACTTCCACCAATGACGATAGCAAAGACCGCCCACCCCCAACCATCTGCCTGCTCGCTTCAACGTTGCTGAATTTTTTTTTCTTTTGAGGAAATAAGCAAAATAAGCCAGGAAGGTTGAGAGGGGGACCTTTCGGAAAAACAAACTGTGACCCTTTTCGGGCCATTTCTTCAAAAATCTTTTTCAATAGATGCAAGTCCCTCACCTGGTCACAATCGGTCCAGCATCTGAGTGCTCTGATCTGGCTAGCGGGCTCACTGGTATCGGCGATGTTGGCAATTTGACAACGTTCACACTAGTACTAGACGTTCCAGGACCGAATGTCGTTAATGGTGGGGGCTGTTTAAGGCCTCTGAGAGATGAAGGTCGCGACGACACTAGAGGAGACCTAAACAGCATACATTGCGCTATGAGATTTGATCAGAAATGAGGAACAACCAGAGTCATCCTCATTTATCAAAATATTCAAAAAATAGAACTCACTGATTTTCCTCTCTCAATCCCACATCTGACAGGCGCTTATGGCAGACGGACTTCTGGCCAGTGACACCAGCCATTGCGCCGCTTCCACTGGATGTTGAAGAAGATGGAGGGCAGGTGGTGGTCGGCGGACCGCCGAGAATTGCTCCATCTTGACTGGACACAGATCTAAAGCGCAGTAAGGATGTTCCGGCACAGGGGAACTCAATGATATAACTGGCTCTGGTTACTGTAACAACCATGATACCTGAGTAAACGATTTTTTTAGTGATCCCACCACCAACTGGCCGTCAGGGCTAATTTTGCCCCTCTCGAGACGGTCCCGCATCATTGCATATTATGTATCCACTATCCACCTAATCGATAAAAACGAGCCTACCTTGGCATGAATGTCTGCTTCTGGCTTGAGCTACCTGGCACGATGTCATTTGCCGCTCTTTTGCCGCTCAAACGCCGCAGAAGGGATGACGGTTTCCTGGAAATTTTTGCAATACTCAAAGACCCAGAATTTTAAATACCAATCTTACTCCACCTAAGGGCAGTGGGCTTGATGTCGGAATGGGAAAATAATTTTGGGAGCTCCTAGTGAATACTCCCAAAATTATTTTCCCATTCCGACATCAAGCCGTGTTGATGGCTGTTGGCGGGCGTTTACTGCCTTCGTTACTGGTGGAAAGGCTGTAAGAAGGCGTTTCGCCACTCAGCTCTCCCACCAATAACGCTGGCAGTAGTTGCCCGCCCCAGCCATCACACCCACTGCCAGCCCACCTGAAACCATCTAAATCCAACTATCTACATACACTATGAGAAGGTATTTCATTAGCGCTGTGGTCCAAAGGCAAATCTACCAATCACACGGCCGGGGTCACCTGGAGCATCCAATAGCTCTCATTGGTGCGTTCCACCATCATAGGTGGGTCCCACCAATAAGAAGGGTACGTAGAAACAAATGACTCTCCCATGCAAACAGCATGGAAATGCCTTCAGGGTACCAAATAATGGAGAAGCAGGAACTAACCTTGGCTTTTTGTCCAAAGGCACTCGACGTTGTGGACGTTTCGGCTTCTTCTTCGCCAGCTTGCCCAGCGTTTTCCGCGGTGCACCTTCCTTGATGGACGTGGACGCAAGTGGAGTTACCTGTGGGATCACATTTGAGGAAACTATCCGTCGGAATGCTCCCAACAACGCACTTCCTCAAGGGCTTACCTTCAATGACAATTCATTTCCATAACTCAACAGGCGATGCATCAGTTGTGGATGAGTCAGGTTGTGAACCGGTTGTCCATTCACCGCTGTGATCAGGTCATCGCTTCGTAATCCGGCTTCGTATGCAGGGCTACCTAAAAACCTTGGGAATAACTCGGGAAGAACCTGTGTAACAATCACCTACCTTCTACGACAGCCGTTACGATATGCTCTATCGTATAGTAGTCCGAGTGCTCTCCTAAATAAACTCGCACCGATTTGAGGGTGAAGCCAAAACCGAACGGACCCTTTCTGAAAATGTGACATTCTTGCTGAAAACTATTGAGAAGGGGAGGTAGAGATAAAAAGATGGCTACTTACCTAATAGTGATTGGTGGTTTATCTAGCGGCTGGGCAGGACTCAGCTGCTCGACGTGATGGACGTGCGATGAGGTGCCATCGTAGGATGACACTGACGATGCCGACACAGCGCCAGGCGACACTTGTCCTGTGGACACCTAAATAGAGACACTGAGTGTGGTCTGCACTGATGCGTCAGTTTTGAAAAAAATCCACGGACTACTAGGAATTATTCTCTTGAAATTTATCCGCTTTCAATTGCTGCAGAAGCTTTTCTTGGACAAGGTAATCCTGTTCTCAAAAATATGTAATAACGAAGTCACTCTGACGACGAAGTCGACGATGGCAATGTTCCGCCCATTGCCCCATAACACTTCCAACGTCCATTTCTAAAGGCTCCCTCGTGGTACGGTGGTAAGGGGAAAGAGCTCGTGCAACCTTGGCTAGACATGCGGTCTTATTCAGAGCATTCCTCGTTTTCTGACTACTGTGAGGGGAGGGGCAGTTCGACAACGAGCGGACAGGGGAGGGAGGGGAGGGCATTAGCACTTTTGCTACTTCCCGTCGACGTGTCGGGCCATCTGGAGCGCTATTTCATGAGCTCACAAGAGTTAACAGGTTTGCCGTGGTGGTTCGACGAGCTTGCTCCAGTTTTACAAGGGTTCACAGGCATTCACAAGAGTGAGACTTGTAAGCCGGAACTAGTGAGGCAGCGAAAGTGCAAAATGTCCCCCCCCCACCTCGTCGCCGCACATTCCTATTTCCCAGGCATGATAATTCGTTGCCCAACTCCGCAAAGCCCTGTTCTTCAACCAGTTAAACCCAGATTCTCCACGTTCCTTGCATCTCTCAGTATTGAGCATCTATTATTCTCTACCTGCCCGGATTCCAATCCTTCATGGGAGGACCATGACGGAAACCCGAAGTAGTCTCGTAACCCTTTGACACAACACTCACCACATAACAAGTATCGTTGCTACTTGAGCTTGCTTGCTGTGCGGGAGCCGAAGTGGTTGGTATGACCAGCTGCAGTGGGGATGGCGAATGAGACTGAAATACGGTAAAATTGGTCTCAAAGGTGGTCTCGAGAGCTAGCGAGCACGTATGGCCGGCAATAGATATGAACAATCGGTACAATAGGCTTACCCTAAATCTGACCGCTTCGTCAACAGGTGATAACTCTTTACAGACGGGTGAATGATGGTGCTGCTCTTCCGATGGATCGCATGAGATAGCAAAGCGAGGCAATGGTGACCTACAAAATCGAGGCATATCAGGATTACTGTAGATATACAGGGTCATAGGTTCATCACGACTATAACTGAAACCTACTTTCTTGCGTCCATTCCCACAATAATCGTGCTCACATGGGACGAATCCATACTGCTATCCGTCGATGAGCAGGCAGTGTTCAGGCAACCCGTACCGGTGGTTCCACTCGACGAAGTGGAGACATTTGCTTGGCGTTGAGCGGAGAACCGCCGCCTCAGAAGCATGGCCTGAAATCCATGCAGTTTTCCAGAAAATGGCAAAATTGATCCCAAAGAAACCGATGTTATCGAGGACCGAAGGAAATCTTTCAGGAGAACCTCTCCCTTACCGATGGTATTGGACACTCCTTCTCGTCGATGAGATCGGTGATCGACTGATCTTCACTGGACTGAGTGGTCGACGACGGTTTTCGTGAACGCTTCGACTGAGGGGTTTGCACGGAGACCGTCTAAAAATGGTCATCAGAATGAAATCTTTCCTCAATATTCTCTTTCAGAAATCTCATGATCAGAGAAAAACGGCGCTCTTTAGAAGGTTACCTGAGGTGGCGGAATCTGCTCGACAGCGACTATTGAATGTCGAGGGCTGGCTGTCGAAAACGAGTGGAACATTGGAGCCGCAGCCGCAACGGCATTCGCTGCTTCTTCCTCACCACATGATTCCGCATCATGATTGTAACGATCAGCACGAGCTGAACATCGGAATAATCATGACATCTTGAGCTATATTTACGCTTTTTTGAGGTTTTAATTTTGCGTCTTTTTTTGATACATTACTTGCCAATTTTTCATACTTTTAAACCACGATAAGCACTCAATGCAGTTGCAGACCACTACCGGCACTTGTAATTCCTCAACTGGTCAGTGAGAAAAGTATGTGTGACTTTACATTCAAAAGGGAAAAAGAAGTTAGAATAAAACCCCTCTTAATGACGTAGAAACCACTAAATCGTTGCTATGGAAAATAGAAGCAGTACATCATCAGCAGAACGTCACTCTTAAGATGCGTCACCTTGGAAGAAAAAAGAAACCGCCGAAACAAATTTTAATAAAGACTTTTTGCGGCTACTAGTTTTATGGGAATGTGCGAGAAGAACGCAAGGGAACTGGAAAAAGAGTTCATCCGTGTCCTGCTGTTGGAGTGACCTACGACAGTAAATCTTACATCTTCATATCCTATCGAGTTTAAACGGCAAGGTTTCTTCTCGAGCAGGGTACAGCATCACCGAAAAAAAAAGTAGGAGGCGCGAGTCCCACTGGCGGTCCGTAGGAAGATCGCTAATGCACGTTGGAAAAAATTCGCAGCCCCGAAGAGGATTTTCCGGGTTTCTTTCTCGGTTTCTATCATTTTCTTGCTTCGCGCTACGCAATTGCGGCCGTCACAGAGCTCTGCCACAACTGCTGAGTCTGAGACGGCCGAAATTATAGAAGTTGGGCGTTAACCTCGCCCCTCGCGGCCCTTCGTTCGACAGAGGTTTTTTAGGCGAAGAACCGGAAGAATACTTGGAAATTTGCGGAAGAAGTTAAGAAGTTGGTAGAAATCTCAGATGATAGAACGCCAGGATAGAGAAGGGGTCGTACAAAATGAGGAAATGTTGGGTTTTGGGGAGGGGAGGGCTTGCAGGGATCGTATCCTTTAGGGCTTCTGTTGCTGAAATCTCAGCCACAACAGGGGCAGGCACACAGCAACCAAATGGGTGACTAGCTTTCTAGCTTCCACACAGAGCTTCGTCGCTTAAAAAGTTAGACATAGGCGCACCCCGCTGCCCAAGTTTTCCTGCATCAAACAAGTTATTTCATGGCATTGTATTCAGAATCGCGACATTTTCAAACCAAATAATTTTTTAAATCAACTACATGCTTGGTTCAGATAGCTTTTTTTTGGGGCGAACTTCTAGAGACGTTGGCGATTGTGATACATTCAAGGGCCAAGCATTCCAATTCCAATTCAATGTCAATGGCCCGGAATACTAAGCAAAGGCGAAGAGATTCAACATCATAGGTTACGAGTATTAGCGATATTGTACTCACTGTCGAAATAGCTCGTATCTTCTTCATTCTCCAGCTGCGGTACAAACTCAGCTTTTTGGCGCGAAAGAGTGTTGTTGTAAGTCTAGTGATGGCGAAGAAAACGGCATGCCCGCCATATAGTTGAGTGGGCGGCCGAATAGATGGCTCCTTAAAAATTAGGGAGGGTCAAGCTTTTGTCCGAGTACTTCAGCACGGAAGATAGTACTAGCTATCCAGGTTACCTCGTACCAAACTTCAGTTCATCGGAAATTTTCAAAAGTTTCCTTACCAATCGTCCATCGGGGTTTCTCAAGCAAACGCCTTGAATCAGATCTTCTGCTTCACGCCGGTAACGCTTCGTCGCCATCAGGATACTCCACTTCTTCTGAAAATATTAGATGAATCATTTGACATGGAGTGAATGACTGAACGATGGGTACGAAAAAAAGATAAATCCTACTGTACCTGATATCACTTTGGAGAACAGGTCCTCTGGCGAATCTCCGAAAAATGGTACACAACCGACAAGAAACTCGTACAAAATCACACCCAGTGCCCACCAATCCACCGGTTTACCGTAACCCTGACGCAGAAGAATCACTTCAGGTGCGATGTACCTGAAAACAGAAGGTATTCTAAAAGGAAAATACCCCTCATCTAAATACGATTTACGCTAATGGTATGGGCGGCAGTATCCAACCATTGCGCCTTCCTCATAGGGACCTCCTCCCAGGGGCACCCCACAACAAAAGCACACTAATTTGAGGGGACAATGGTTGGGTGTCTCCGCCTACACAATTAGCGTGCGCCATCAAAGAAGCTTGTGTTGATTTGCAGCGAAATGAGCAGAAATACTCTAAAATATAATATAACAGGAATTAAAAACTTACTTCAGGAGTACCACAAGTTGTTGTCTTTGAACCTGCTGAGTATCGATCGCGTTTTCAAAACCTTCAGCTACCAAGGTTGTTCGATTCATGAGACCAATTTTCGACAACCCGAAATCTGTCAGCTTGATGTGACCCATCGCAGTGATGAGTAGGCTGAACAGAAAAACCTTAGAATATTCAATCCAAATGAAAAAGTAAGTTTTTATGATTGGTTTCTTGAAGCTACGACCTTCGTTTCCCCGCTATTCCTCGTTTTTTAGATGTTGATCTCTTCTTTCCGCCGGAAGATGTGAGGAAAATGATTGCCAGAATGGGGACTTCCGCCTGGACTTCCGACTAAGCTTGGGGGAGGAGGAAGTTTCCGGAGTGAACTAAAGACCTCACCCACTCCGGAGATCAGTTTCCTAGACTTCGGCAAAGTGCTTTTCGTGATCGTTTGCGGAGACAGAAAGAAATCATGTAGTATTAAACAAGCCGACAAACGGTTTATAAGAACAACCAATCGGACAAAGTCAGGAGGTATGATTAGAAAAGCAGCGGTGATAGAATCAAGGCAAGTACATCATAGAAAACACTTACCTTATCGCGTTTCAGCGTCTCTGTGAACATACCATATGAGTGCAGATACTCTTAGCACAGCACAGTCCTCTGCACATTACAGCCGGAAATATTATAAGCGCATTTGGCTCAGACATCAAATTTCAAGGGTTTCGCTACGGGCTACGGGCTTAAGTCCATGTGGAGCACGGTCCTATTCGCTGTGGATGATTGGGCGTGTCCAGCGAGGCTGGTCTGGCATACCGCCAGCCCGCTCTCCACCAGTTCGTTGCTTGAAAGCGTTTAAGCCAGCAACAATCCGGGTGCGAAACACGACTGATATTGTTGGCGTCCTGCCTGCCTGGCACCGCGCCAAATAATTCAGTTCCCCCCTTGACAACTTCCATTATCCACAGCGAATAAGACTGTTTTCCCATATCACAACGAAAATGACATCTAAACAAGATAATTGTCATCCAATACGGAAACAGCCGTCTTCCTGCGCCTAATTCGCATCTCCGCTCAGGAAGAGCGATTTCAGTTGGTTACGGTGCAATGCGTTCATTACCTAACCGCTAGTGAAGTTGTAAAGCAGTAAAAAGAAATGTAAAAAAAAACTCGGCGTGTCTTTCCTCACCTTGGCCAAATCGATTGGCAAAGTGCCAGCACTTTTCAGTAATGCTGCACAGTCGCCACCTTCAACGTACTCCATTAGCATACAAAGATGATGTTTAGTTTCGAATGAACCATAGAACGAGACCACAAACGGGTTGTCGGTCATTGTCAGTATATCGCGTTCGGCAAATACCTGAAACGTCAGTACTAGAGCCTGTCTAGTCATCCAGAACACCGGGCACAGCACCACCATGACCGGAGGAAAGGAGGAAATTCATAAAAAAATATTTGGGCAGTTCGACAACGCGGGCGGGAGGGGGTAAGACTTGCATTTTTCTTACTTCTCATCAACGTGTCGACCCATTCGGAGAGTCATTTCATAGCTCACAAGGTGAAAGGTTTTACCATGGTGGTTCAGACTTGAAAAAAGCGGAAGAAGTGAAACAGCAGAAGTGCAGAACGCCCCTCCCCCCCCCGTCGCCGACTTCCGCTACAAAAACACCCTCGCGATCCACTTGTATGACTAGTCTTCATTGGTCTGGCTCCCACTGATCTGATCACCCACTTGGTCCTGGATCCCGTCCTTGACCAACACTGGCTTTCACTGCTCCCAAGCAACCTCCCAGGAGAATACAATGGATAGTGAATACAGAACAGATACAGAACACTGCTTACTGCAGTACAAGAGGGTTCAACTTTTTTTACTGACCTGATCGACCTGGTTTCTCAGCACCAACGTCTGTTTGTTCATCTTCTTCAACGCAAAACGTTGCCGTGTCTCGCGATGCCGCACCAGATATACAGCTCCGTAGGCTCCATTACTGACCAACTTAAAACAAAAAATTAGTCGGATTCTCTAGGAAAAACACGATTATTCTGTGTAGATACTCTTGTTCTTGTGCCTATGAAGGCAAACTGAATGAAGAAGCTGGGGCAGCTGCTAACTTCATGAAAACATTAGCGTAAGTAAGAGCAGCGCTGAGAGGTACAGTGTCTCCCAATGGGGACTAATGAACCAGCCCGGAATAGAAAAGTCGAGATTCAGAAATTGAGAGAAATTCGTTCATAAATGAAAACAGCACGTGTCCGGCACTACTGCAATAGAAGAACCCCAGTTTGACTATAAAAGACGACGAGGCTGAATCTCACACTTGAAATATAGCCAGTGACCCAAGAAGCCACTGCCTTCAGCTCTGATTCTCCATTATACGGTTTTCGCCTAACATCAAGTTTGTCTTCCTTTCAACGTATCGAGTATTGTTTACTGATTTTTATCGCTTTGTGTGTCTTTAAACATTTTGAGCCCAGCTCATGATAAATCGTGCAAAATAGTTCTTCACTACGTTATATATGCCAAGGACTAGTAGGAACCGTAAGAGTATAAAGCACGGATAAGCAAAAGGGGGTCACAAAATGCCCCCTCTCTCTCCACTCCCACTTTGAACCATACTGAAAACACATTCAGCGATTGTCGGATGGATAAGAGACTCGTAACAGCTGCATCTTCCCAGAGGATGTGTCCTCGTCAACCTTCTGAAGAGGAGCTGCGTGCCAAGGAGAGGCAATATGGTTATAAGTCTCCGCCCATCCTGTGACTGCGGAACGCGTGTCTATTCAGAATAGTGGAAGGCCAGTTAATATGCCAGTTTCAAACCATACCCGGATCGTCTCAAAATCGTCTTCACGAGGCGCTCGTTGTTGTGTGCCCTCGGACTTTCCAGAGTGCCCTGGCACCATCTCATCGTCGCGATGTGGCGCTGCTGACGGCGCAGCGTTTGGTGGTGATTCTGCTCGTGGGTCCACATCCATTAATGGATCACGATCGAGCCCGAGCTTTCCTAAAGTAGAAATACATGACAGAGAGTTCTCTTGTCAAACGACAGAGCGAAGTCCACAATTCCCAGAATGGTATAGGAGGAATGGCTGGTCATTAGGAAAAGTGAACCAGCCCTAATTGTTGCAAAATAGCCTCAGATAGAGACAACACTCCTCAGCAGCGGATGGTGAATCAGATGGTTTGTCAACGCTTACCAATAATATATTGCGGTAAATCTGGTACACGTGCAGTACCGCTACCCAACTGCTCTCTCACGACACCTTCGGCCTCTTCAAGTAGATGGTAAAACTCGTCCGGATCAAACTCCTTCAACGAATAGAATTTAAGGATCTTCACGCATTACCAGACATCAAGCTTCCAGGCAAACTGACCAGGCATTCCAGCAGTCGTGCTGGTCGGCTTACTATCATCAACAGTTGCTTCACCAATTTCGAGAGGTACGCAAAGGACTCGGGCGATGTCTTTATCTGAGCCTGAGAACAGAATAAATTAAAACGGTGATAATAGAATTCAAAAGGCCATAGCTACAAAATGGACAGTTTAGCGAAACCTGTAAAACAAACCTCGTTCAGTGTTTCATCAAGTCTCTGACTCATCTCGCAAAAATACGAACACGATATGGTTTCATCACGTGAACGAGCCAAACAATCCGATGCTACCTAAGTCGATAACTATCATTATTATGGACAAAAAAATCGTCATAGTTACTTCAAAAGAACGTTTTCTGTAATAAACCTCACCCTTATTATAATAAGTTCTTAATTTATAGGACTCTGTTCCCCTCTAGGACATCCAACGCAAAGGGAAGAAAATCCGCGAAAAGAATTTCAGTATGATATCTACATACCTCCACAATTTGATGATGCAAAAATCGAGTAGCTCCATCGCCAATCAATCGCAGCAGCGTACGATTAGTAGAAGTTTCCGTTTCCAAGACCTGAAAATATCCCCAGTGTACATAAGTCATAATCTTAGAATTTTCATCCGAAATGGCTCTTTTCGACAACTTCGCCGATTTGAGCCATTTTACGCCATTTTCCCCTGGGTGTGTCGTTAGGTCCGCCCGGCCAGAAAACTCGTCCAAAGGACCCCCTT